CGAGCAAGGGGCTCAAGAGCAGTGCGGTCACGAAAGAAACAGCGCGAAGCGCCTGAGTCTAGAGTGAAGGTGTGCAGTGCCTCAGTGGACTCAGTAATACCTGGGGTGGCGGACACACACGCACCTATAGCAGTAGCCTCACCAGTACCTGGGGTAGCAGACACGCAAGCACCTAGGGCGGCAGCCTCACTCGTGCGGATGCCTGGGTCAGGCGGAACACTCAGGTACTGGTCCTCCTCTCCACTAATAGTCGATGCATACATTGCTTTGAGAATAACATCAAAATCAAGAGCATAGATATCGATATCCTTCTTGAGGAGATCAGCCCACTGAGGGAGCTCAGGAGCGTCAGGAAACTGAGCACGCCAAGCGTCATCTAGGCGAGAGAAGCAGCGCTGCGAAGTGTGCGCCCTCCCGCACGTCTGTCCCTTGCGGCGACCAGTGCGGATGACGTATGTGCAGCTAAGGCTACCCCCCCCACCCCCGTGCTGTAAGTACCACTCACGGAGCTCCTGGGAGGACTGAGGGTGCTGCGCACTCTGGCCAGTGCCAGAGCCTCCACGACCACCACCGCCGCCTCCACCACGACCACCACCGCCCTCTGCCGCCGCCACGTCCACTGCCGCCACCACCACCGCCCCCACCCCGGCCACCGCCGCCGCCGCTGCCTCCACCACCCCCACCGCTGCCACTAGCCCCTCCAGCCCCGCCACCGCCCCCGCCGCTGCCACCACCCCCACCACCGCCTCCCCCGCCGTCACCCCCACCGCCCTTGCCTCCCCTGCCCTTGCCGCTGCGGCGCCCGCTGGGAGCGGACGCAGAGCCGACCTGCTCAGCACTAAGAAGGTCGACAGCAGCAGCAGAGGCGACAGAGGGGAGGAGGGGGGAGGGGGAACACCCCTCGAAGAAAGGGGTGCGGGGGTCGCCACGAGAGGCACCTACAGCTACAATACTATTCTCAGCTGCAAGTAGTTCCTTCTCTAGGGCGGCAATGGTGAGCTCAGTGGGGCAGCGAGCTAGGAAGTGGTCCCTGACTGTACGCAGAGTGTCAGGGAGGCGGGTGACTAGGTGGTAGAGAGTGAGCCAGAGCGGGGGAGGGTTGGAGGCAAGAAACTCAGCAGGCATGGCTGCACGGAAGCGGGCATCACTAGTACGGAGGTGAGTGATGAGGTCAGCGACTGTCTGGAAAGCGGACAGGTCGGGGAACAGGTAGGGAAGGGAGAGATGGCCTAGTGCAGCTGAGGCCGGGGAGGAGTAGCGCGCAACTACAGCAGTGTACAGGGCCTGCGCAGTCTGATGCTGGCCGAAGTGCTCACGCTCATCTACTGGCAGGGAGTTGCGAATAGCAAAGCGGGCGTGGGCATCGCGAGTCTGCCACTGCGAGCGAGCAGTAGCGGTAGCAGTAGTAGCAGGAGAAGGGACTGTGCCTAGTGCGTGATCGTACAGCGAGATATCCTCTCTGGCAGTGAGCTGGAGGAACAGGTGCAGATCATCGAGCCAGGTATCAAACTTAATCGGGCGGCCCTCAGAATCGAACGAGAGAACTGTAGGGCTAGCCATAGCTGAAGTAGCAGTAGCAGCAGTGGTGGTAGTAGCAGTAGCAGTAGCAATAGCAGTAGCAGTAGCAGTAGCAGTAGCAGTAGCAGTAGCAGTGCTGTGCACAAGTAAGTAGGGCGCGGCTCGGCTAGGGCGGCGCGGCTTGGCTAGGGCGGCGCGGCTCGGCTAGGGCGGCGCGGCTCGGCTAGGGCGGCGCGGCTCGGCTGGGGCGGCGCGGCTCGGCTGGGTCGCGCGGTTCGGTTCGGGTCGCGCCGTGCGGCTCGGTCGTAGAGGGGCGAGCGCGGGAGGGCCGGTCGGGGCTAGCGCGGGGCCCTAAGGGGGGGCCGTGAGAGGCTAGCGCGGGGCCTGCAGGGGACGTGGGAGGCTAGCGTGGGGCCTTAAGGGGCCGTGAGAGGCTAGCGCGGGGCCTGCAGGGGCCGTGGGAGGCTAGCGCGGGGCCGACGGGGGCCTTAGGAGGCTAGCGCGGGGCTAGCGTGGGGCCGACGGGGGCTTAGGAGGCTAGCGCGGGGCCGATCGGGGGCCTTAGGAGGCTAGCGCGGGGCTAGCGTGGGGCCGACGGGGGCCTTAGGAGGCTAGCGCGGGGCCGACCGGGGGCCGTGAGAGGCTAGCGCGGGGCCATACGGGGTCTTGAGATCGAGGCGCTCGAGGCGCAGGAAAAAGAACGGCGGCGCACGAGGGCGCGGCTAGCGGAAACGGTGGGCCATATCGTTTCGGTCCTAGGTGGAACCTAGGCTCTGATACCATGTCAGAATGAGAAACGAGAATGAATGGTGACTAGCAGGAACAACAGTACAAATATGTCAAACCCTAATCTGGTGTACCCCTTATGGTGTGACCCACTACAGCCTAGAACCACACAAACATATAATGTTTGACAGCCTTGTGATCATCAGCGCTTCTGTACTTTGTTAGGTCGTGTACCTACTTTGCCTCACTTGCTCGCTTTTTGACCTTGCTTGTACTGTGACCTATATATACTTGCACTTGCATGTTTAGCTTTATATATCTATGTGTTTGCATGTGAACTGGCCTTGTGGCCCTTGAATTTGTGCTCAGAATGTGTGGTGACGTTGTGATCCACCCTGAGCTTACTGTGCTTTGCTTGACTGGTCTTGTGACCCCTTGTTCTCCCCCACTTTGCCTATGGGGGTGTTTCGAGCTTATATGCTATAGTCTTTCTAGGCTGTAGTGGGGTAGACAGTATGGGGTACAGCTTTCTAGGGTTTCATATTTGTACCCAACTCTTTCCTAGTTCATCTCATTCTTATTTTTTCACAAATGGTTGGTATGTGCCGAAACCAGGGACCACGTTCTTCTGGCAACTAAGCGGAACAGATGCTGGTACTATTGATTGTTTGATTTCCTTTTCGTATTGTCTTTGTGAAACCTTCTTTGCATGCAAAGATCTAGCATTCTCGCATTGTCGGTTACTTTAGAAACTATCATTCGCGTTTCAAGTTCTGATTGTTCGTACATGCTTCTTTCGGAACCCCATTAGACGTGAATCCAACGCACCCGGCAACGGTCTACACCGTTGACTTCTGCGTGACAGCGAAGAGCATCGCGAAACTTTGCAACGCGGGAAAGGTGGTGATGTGTTACATCAGCTTTGGGACCGCCGAGGAATATCGCAGCGACTACAACCAGTTCCCGAAATCCGCTATTGGAGGGCTCGCTTGCATGGTATGATACCTGATATTGACATTTTCTATCAGTCCACAGGCGTTATGGATCCTTTCTTTCGCTTTCGAGCGATTCAAGAATCACCTTTCGCGGTTTTAACATGCCTATGTCGAAAAAAATATGATTACGTTTTTCGTTTTCGTAATGTGTCGACAAAATGATTTCTGCTTGTGAGCAGAACGAGTTGTGCACGGAGGTGTGGCCTGGCGAGAGGTGGTTGGACGTCACGAGCCCTGTTGTCAAGACGATCATGGAGAAGCGGATCCTGGTGAGACGTGTTTAAACAGCAGGCAGAAACTAGAAACTGAGAAAGAGGAGGTTCACTAGCATGCAGTTCAGTACATATGGCAAACCCTAATTTGGGCTATACTTGCTATAGAGTATCCCACTGCAGGCTACACAAATTTCACATTCTGACACACCCCCATAGTCAAAGTGGGGTACAATCAGCACAACAAGCAGGCAGAGCATTAGTTCACAATTATAAGCAAAGATAGAGGCTATCACAGAGAGCAAGTGAGGAGGAGAAACAGTGAGAGGAGTGGAGATAGGAGGCGTCGGGTCAAGCCGCAGACACACGGGCAATAGGAACGGCGCGTACGGTGGCTACCGGAGCACTCAACCTCCGGACTACAGGAGTAACTGGCTCCGCGCTAAGTAGCAGCAGGAGCAACAGACCCACGGGCGATTGGTAGCAGCAGGCTCGCTGGGCTACCGGAGTACTCAACCCCCGGACTACGGGCGCTGCTGACGTCACAACGGCTACCTCCGGTCAACATCCCCCAACTGTCCCACACCCCTTTCACACACTCCCTGCTGAACCACTAGCACCGCTCATATGCCACCCCCCTCGAACCACTCCGACGGCTCCAACACATCCACCCCCCTCAGCGGCAGCTGCAGCAGTGGGAGACGGAGGAGGAGGAGGAGAAGGGGACGGCTCACACACACAGCACCCCCATACTCTCCATCCCCAAACCCTAACACAGGAGCGCAGGCAGCAGCGGGGGTGGGGCGCAGTCAGAAGCTCGGGGGACGGCGTGCGGCAAGGGGGGAGAAGGTACGGGCCGCTCACGAGCCTGGTGTAGGCCGGACGAACCGCGCGCGGGTTGCTTGAGCCGCGCACGGGCCTAGCGCAGCCCGTACGGGCCGCGCGCTGGCCTGGCGAAGGCCGTACGGGCTGCGCGCAGGCTATACGGGCCGCGCGCGGGCCAGGCGCAGCCCGTACAGGTCGCGCGCGGGCCTGGCGCAGCCCGTACGGGCCGCGCGCGGGCCTGACGCAGGTCGTGCGGGCCGCGTCGGGCGACGGTGGGGTGACGCGCGGGTCACCGGGTTAGGAAACCGCCGTGCGCTCCCGGGGCGCGCGGCGGGCAGGGCAGAAAACCTGGAAGAAAAAACGCCGCGCAGGGCAGGGCAGGGCAGAAAACCGGGCAGGGCAGGGCGGGAAGAAAAAACGCCACGCACTCCGAGCGCACGGCAGGAAGAAAACGGCGCGCGCTCCGGGCGCGCTACAGGCAGTAGAGCAGCGGAAGCATCGGGTGGGGCCCACCCACAGGATCGACCCAGGAGGGTCGACCTGCTCTAATACCATGTTAAAACAGCAAGCAGAAACTAGAAACGAGAAAGAGGAGGTTCAATAGCATGCAGTTCAGTACATATAGCAAACCCTAATTCGGGCTGTACTTGCTATAGAGTACCCCACTGCAGGCTATACAAACATCACATTCTGACAAGACGTCCACACTTTCCCTGTGTATCACATGCCTGTGATAGGAGCAATCAGGAAATTGGTTACCTATATGTGGCGTGTGGAGAGGTGGCTGGACGTCAAGAGCCCTGTCGTCAAGGCGATCATGGAGAAGCGGATCAATGTAAGGCATGCCAACTTAACTTGCGGAACAGCACCAGAGCTGCTGAGATGTAACACACGGACGGAGTTGTAACAGATGGAGTTGTAACATGTGTAGCCTAATTTCCGGGGCTGCACCATGCTTAGTCATACCATGCTGAATGGTTTCCCAGGTTAACAACCTATGCCGGTATCTTTTGAAATCTGTCCCACCATCCTCTTTTCCTTACTGATGCATGTCAGTTGGCGAAGAGCAAGGGGTGCGATGGGGTTGACCCGGACAACATCAAAGCGTATTCAAACAACATCATGGCTCAAGCCATCAGCCAATTCACCGTCACTGCCGATGACCAGTTCAAGTACAACTCATGGATCGCCAATGCTGTTCACAAGTGAGACATGCTGTCAGGTATAGTTCTATCCTAGCATCATATTTGTGCCAATCCTCTCAATTTCATGGCTCAAGCCATCAGCCAATTCACCGTCACTGCCAACGACCAGTTCAAGAACAACTCATGGATCGCCAACACTGTTCACAAGTGAGTGATGTTCAGGTGTAAGTCTCTCCCAACTTGTAGCTGGTGTAGTCCCTTCCCCCGACCCCTGCCCCTCCTCCGCCCACCTTTACACGGATCCCTTCACTCTCAATGCTTCCGATCCTCCACCCTTCCAGACCCACAAACAGTCTTCTTTTAGGCCACCCTTCCCCCGTCCCCCCACCCTTCTTCCCTCACATGCTCCCTCCCCTTTCCCCTCTGCTTCAGTTACAGAATCCTAGTGGTTCTCAAGAACCAAAGCCCTTGACCCCAACAATCACTCCCTCCACTTCCCCTTTCTCCGCCCCACCCTCACCAGGTACGGCATGTCAGTGGGTCTCAAGTACCCCGTCCCGCTCGCCCCCTCTTTCATGGCAAACCTCTTTGTCTGGGCGATCATCGAGAGCTGCATCTACTTGAGCGACTTTAGCGACGGCGAGTGGTACAGCGGCAAATACCAATACGACTACTCCAACAAGTTTATTGTTCGCAACAAGGCCGTGTTCTCTATCGAGTATAAGGAGCTCTGGGGCACGTCTGCAGGCCAAGTGAGCAGAATCGCATTCCCGCAGGTTAGTGTGTGATGTATGTGTTGATAGCCAGACGCAACATTCCCTACATATGGTTAGTCAGAAACGAGGTGAGAGTCAATCAATGACAAGGTTCAGGATGTTCTTTTCTGCAGCGGCTCTCCATTCAGTCCCCTTCTTGCTCTCGCTAAACAGAGCATGGGCGAAGCCAGTAATGCTTAAGAACATGAGCTGAGCGAACTCAAAGACTGCCGCCGCTCTCCTCTTCCATCCTTCCCCTCTTCTACCACCTCTCATTTACACGAACCATGTGTGCAGTCAGCAATGCCCAAGGGCTCAACTTCAACATATGCAATATGACTTTCCAGCCATCTCAAAGTCACCCCATCTCCCTCTCTCTCCACTTCTTCCACTTCTCTCTCTCTCTCTCATTCGTCAGGCCTTTTGTGCAATCAGCAACGCTCACGGCTTCAACACCAACCTCTTCAGCTACTCCCTAGGCACTGGGCCTCACAATCCCTTTGCCAACTGCCCGCTGCACAAGCTTGCAGGGTGTGATGCTGTGTGGAAAGAGTGTGTGAAGCAGAGTGTGTATGCGCAGTACAAGCAGCAGGGCATGGCGAGGTGGGATGCAGTGGGGCAGTGCATGAGGGCCAAGAGAGCAGCTTGCAAATACAAGGCTTGAACAAGGAGGGGATATCATTCTTAAAATTCATAGCTGGGAAAGAGAAGAGAAGGCGTCGGTGAGACTGCAATACCGTCTCCCCCCGGATATAAGCGCCACCCTAGGATAAGCGCCTGGCGCTTCTAATTGGCTTATGGCGCTTATATCCCCTCTTCGATTATAAGCGCACCCCTTGAAAAAACTTGTTTTATTATAAGCGCACGTAAACTTTAAAATTTGAAATGTGTTCAAAAAGCTGTAACGATTTTTACTTTAGCAGGCGGATATGTTGCAGATTCGGTTCCCTTCACATTCGGACCCTGCACTGGATGCGGGTCCAGTCAGCAGGACCTGTCAGGAGCTGGATTTGAGTCAGATTGGGTGTATCTCCCAACGCGCGCGAGAATTTCACAGACGATCCCATGTAACTTCGACTCGATTGAAAAGGCAAGCACGAGACCTACAGTTTGGTGTTAAAAGATATAAAAAAATATGTATGTCATTTTATAAACGCCGGCGCTTATAAATTTACTCGATTATAAGCCCACCCCCATGAAAAAACCTGTTTTATTATTGCCCCCCATGGGGATATATCCGGGGGGAGACGGTAACTAGTGTTAGCCGGTACAATTATGTGTACGATGATATTGTACAGCTAGGCTTCTGCCATTGCTTTAGTTGAAGTGTGACGGACTACCCATGCCCATGTAGGTGTGAGCCAACCACCAGTGGTGCGTATCTCGTGACTGCGCTGCCCTGGGGTGGGCGCCAAGCTGTTTAAGTTGTTTACCACGAGACAATTGTTTATGGTCCCATGCGCCTTGTTGATGTGGGACTTAATCCACCCACCTATAATTATGTCAGTAACCCATGTATGCGGCAAGTAATAATCGGCCTGAGAGTGAAGGCACGAGCAGACATTTATAGCGAAGTCATGCTGACGGGCACAAAAACGTGAGGTTCTGGTGTTGAATAGTAGGGTTGGGCCTACCGGTTATTAGTCGAGGCGTGCGGCCTCTGACACGATGCTGCAAATGTATTTAATGGGCGATATTTGTTGGGTTGGAATGGTAAATTATGGTTGTGAGGTGGGCAAAGGATGCCATATGCGGAACGTAGAGTGAACTAGAAGTACAGGGATATTTTTTTTTCTTACCAATGGTGTTTGGATAGATAAGTTTGCAACACAAGTTACAGGAGGGTTTCGTGTGGTTCGCTCAATATCGGAATGAAGGTTCTCGTTTTGCAATCTCTCCAGCTTGCTGCCACGTGGATCAGCCAATCATATCGACTATTAGCGATCTCGATTGAACAACCGAGATTACGTACAGGCATCTGCTGTCCAGGAATCCATTGGATGTGCAAGCAGCTCTACAGTACGCTCTAGCATCCAAAGAATCGTTCTCACGCACGTCCCATATCGGGAGGGGCGCAATTCCCGAGGCGCGCTGCAAACACCGCGGCGCAACTATCGTCATATTGTTTCAGCCCGTCGTCACCCGACACGACGCTGCGCCTGGACCGAGTGACATGCCACGCCACCTGTTGATGGCGAGACACGCGTCCCATCCAAACCAGCTGGCTGCCTGCCTTGCCCGTCTGTCTGCCCGAACCCGAACCTGCCGTTCCACCCAGAGCTGCTCCACTTCGGCTTCCCCAACAAGTCCCCACACCCAAACACCACAGTCTCCACCCACTACAGGTAGCAGAGGCCACCCAAAACCGCACCGAACTTTTCCCCTGAGCGCCCCTCCCAGACCTGCGAACCACCTCGTGATTGCTCACACCCAGAATACACCATCCTAGTATTATACCGAGCTGTCCACGACGTAGCAAGTAAAGGAATGAACTTGTAGTTGCTCAAGTTGTCTAATCCTCTTGGTTTTGTGTTTTTTTTTAAAGTATACCTTTAGATTCACCCAAAAGCAGGCAGTATTGAAGGAAAAACTAGTTTACTTATATAAATATGAATTCACCGTAAAATCGATACAGAAAATGTGTTTCGATGTATTAAGGTAAAACAGATGTGCTGGTTTGAATTTGCATAAAAATAGGATGAAAATACACAATTCGTACAATCCACCACCAACGAGCAGCCTAAAACATGGAAAAGTGGTTAAACTGAAACGAAGAAGAGTTTTGATAGCACGACTATAGTTCATATTGGGTGTAACGCCTCCCAGCACTTCCGCCGCCATTCGTCACCACTTCCGCCCAGCCCAACCACCTTTCTCCCGCAATTCACGGGTTCAACGCGCCCTTTGGTCTGGTTGGCGAATCACCACCACCACCACCATCACCAGCCAACCCCCAACACGCCAAACCTCTAGCGACGTTTTCAGGTAGGCTGTGTTCCCTTAACAAAATGTGGGTTTGGTGTGGAGGTATCCTGTCCTACAACAGAACAGCATGACAGGAGGTCGCATGCGGGGTGTCTTCTTGGTCAAGCGCAGAATGACTGCTTTGCCGTGGATTTGTCATCTAAACGTGTGCTGGGGTTGGAGGTTTGTGCAACAAGGCTCCACGAAACCCTCTGTTCGATCGATTTCGATGCTTTCTAAAACACGCCCTTCGTGGCTCTGAAGGCATTTCAAATGTTCGTCAATCTCTCCGACAAAGTTCTGTAGAGCCCTTACACCTAATACTCTCTCTTACATTATCTTTAGAGTTCAGGGTTTCCGTTTCTGTTCCCTTACCTGAACGACGTTTCTCGTCTCTGCCCTCAGTCACGAGAGTAGGGAGGGCGCACTGAGTGTATTGGTCATTTTTTTTAGGCGACATTACCCGTTTCTTTCGTGGAAACCGTCAGTGCGGTGCTAGTTCAGGGCTCGGTTCGCCTCAATTCTCTTGAGTGACAGCTCGACACTTGGTGCTCCTTTCGTAGGTAGTCGAAACTAGAGCCAACGGTTAACTCAATTCAAACGTCTTCTGTTCACGAAACGCAGTTGGATAGTCTGTATTAGAGCCATGGCGGAAGTAGACGTAGCCGGACTAAGCGCCGGAACCACGCATACCGGCGTGACCGGCGGTGGTAGCGTGCCCACTGCGCGACGATACTCTCTAGGCATTGTGCAGCCTGGCGGCGCGGGGGGAGATGCCGGCGGCGCGAAGGTTCTGAGCTCAAAGTCGGAGCTTAAAGACGCGCTGACGGCGTTTCAGCAGACGTTCGTCATGTGTGACGCGACGAAGCCCGACAACCCTATCATGTTCGCCAGTGAGGGGTTTTACCAGATGACGGGTTACACGGCCCAAGAGACTATCGGCAAGAACTGGTGCGTATTACTGAGGTTACCGATTTATGAAGCGTGACAACCCTTTTATGTTCGCCATTGGCGATCAAATAGGTTACACAGCCCAAGAACTGGGTAGTCCTTTTCTAAAGACATATCAAGAACATCACGTGGGGTTCGTGACTGACGAAGCTCGACATCCGTAGTAACAGACACCTCGAACGGTATAAAAAATCGCCAATTAAGTCGAGGTCTCGGCTGGCAGGCATGTTTTGTTCTCACCGCTACTCGTCAGCTTGATTGTTTCGGCGTTGTATACAGTCGGTTTGTTTGTTTGCTTGTTTTTTTTTTTTTTGTGCGTTGGTTTTACTTGTTTGTTTGTTTTTATTTCCATTGGTTTAAACAAACGGCGCATTAAGCATGCGTGCAAGAGGCGTTGCGTTTCCATGACTTATGAAGTTACCACAGTAAGAGGTCACAAAGAGTCTCTCGCTTACACAGTTTCCAAGGCAGAAGTGGCGGAGGTGGCGGAGCTGCGCGCAGGGCGGGGACAGGGGAAAGCTGTTGCGGAATGGTGGTGGGGGGAGCTGGTGCGGACGGCTCTTGATGTTTGCTTACCCCCCCTCTTTCCCGACATTTTCGCTCTCGTTCCCCTTCCTTCCGCCAGCTGTTTTTCCCTCGCTTCTCTTTCTCCTTCCGCCAGTCGTTTTCCGGAGGGCGCGGAGACGGACAAGGCGGACGCGAAGCTGCGCTGGCAGTGGCGGCGGGGGAGAGCCGGTGCGGGGGAATGCAGGGACGCTTCCCCGCCCCCTCCTCTCTTCCCCCCTCCCCCCCCCCTCTTCCCTATCCAACCCAGCTTCCTCACTCTATCCTCCCTCGTTATCCCCCCTTATTTCCCCCAACCGCTCCCCTCTCTCTTCCCTGCCCTTTCCCCTCCGCGCGTTCGCACAGTCGTTTCCTGCAGGGCGAGGAGACGGACAAGGCGGAGATTGCGAAGCTGCGCGCGGCAGTGGCGGCGGGGGAGAGCTGGTGCGGGCGGCTGCTCAACTACAAGAAGGACGGCTCGCCCTTCTGGAACCTTCTCACCGTGTCGCCCGTTAAGGACGACAACGGGACGGTCGTTAAGTTTATCGGGTGAGCGGCTGAGAATCATCTGACTGTATCGAGTGTAATTGTGTCAAGTATTATCGAGTGTGACTGCATCGAGTCGAGTATTGACGTAGTTGCTCGATTCCGAGAAAAATAAGTCGCCCTTTTGGAGCCTTGTGACCGTGTCGGCCGTCAGGGATATTAAAGGTCGTCTATTCAGTCGATTCATTGCCCACATGTCAACTTTGATCCGCAAGAAAACAGCGTTTGCTTCTAGATGTTATCGTTTATCCATTACGTCAGCATTGTTTCGTCAATGTCAGCATTTCCGTCAACGTCGGCATTTCCGTCGATGTCAGCATTTCCGTCAATCTCAGAGTTTTCGTCAATGCCACATTTCCGTCAATGTCAGCATTGTCGGATAATTGCTGACATTGACGAAAATGTCAGCATGCGTTTGAAGGTGTCCGTAAGTGTCAGCATTTACTGCGCAGTCCGTCAATGCCAACAATTATTCGTTAATGCTAGGGTTTATCCGTCAACGTTAGCAGTTTACCATTCAACGTGCTAACTGCTGCTCTATCCTTCTCTCTCCAAACACTCCGCCCCTCCCCTCCTCTCTCCCCCCGTCCCATTCAAGGGGAGGTGACCCATTGCACCAGAAACAGCGAGTGCATACTTCTCTTATTCCCCTTCTCTACCCCTGCCTAATTTCCTCACTCCCATTGTCCTTCCTCCTCCTCCCTTCTACCCTTTCCCCGGGAGAACCAAATTCACGGAAGGTGGCAAAAATAAGAACTGTCAAAACCTGTCTTACTCCTATCGCCTCTGCCCCTGCGTACCCCTCACACTCCACTTCTCCCTCTCCCCCTCCTCCCCGCCTCCCCTCCTGCAGCATGCAAGTGGAGGTGACAAAATACACGGAGGGCGCAAAGGACAAGGAGACCCGCCCCAACGCGCTGCCCGTCTCGCTCATTAAATATGACGGTACGTACTGTTCAGAGTTTTTTTTTTTTTTTTTTTTTTTTTTTTTTCCAAGGAGTGGAGCACAATACCCCACCCCCCTTTTCTGCAGAGGAACCGGAAAGTACAGTTTTGAGGCGCCTCAAAAGAGGGAAGAACCGGAGAGAACAGTGTCTAAGCTGGTGGTGGAGGTGGGTAACAGGTCTATTCCCCTTCTTGGGCTCCTTACCTCCCCCTTTCTCTTCACCCGCCCCGCTATTCCTCCCCCCAACACAGCGCGCCAGAGGGAGGAAGCGGAGAGCACAGTGTCTGAGCTGGTGGCGGAGGTGGGGAACAAGTCGCTGCAGGCGGAAGGGGGGGAGGCGGAGGGCGGAACGCAGCCCCCCAAGGCGGAGGGGGAGGGGTCGGGGGGAGCTGCGGTGGGGGCGGACGGGAAGGGCAGTGAGAGGCGCAAGTCTGGGCTCATGTCCTTGCTGTCGTGAGTGGCACCTTTCTTTGTAATCCCCTTCCTGAGGCGCCTCAAAAGTTAGGGGCGCCTCTCAAATCAGGGCTCATGTCTTTGCTGTCGTGAGTGGCACCTTTCTTTCTTACTCGCCTTTTGAGGCGCCTCAAAAACTGGGCCCATGTCTCTGCTGTCGTGAGTGGCACCTGACTCTTTAACTCGCCTTTCTTTGCATTCACCTGTCTTTGACTCTGCGAGAGGTCTTTTTATACTCTTCGTGCTTCATCGCAGGAGATGGGACGATCGGCTGCAGAGTCCCATCGAAGGCTGAAAATACGAGAGGAGGAGCTGTTGAGAACGCATATTCCACTTCCCCTCCGCTCCCCCTCGGCAATGGAGGCGGCGGCGGAGGAGGATGCTGGGGACCACAAGGCGAGGAGGGGGGGTCTGTTCTAGCAAGCACTCATACCCCACTTCCCCTCTCCTTTCCTCCTCATCTCTCCCCTTCCCCCCATGCAGCAAGAAGGAGGGAGCTGAGCCGGCAATGGAGGCGTTGGAGGAGGACGAGGGCGGGCACAAGGCGAGGAGGGATGGGGGTTTGACTAACCACGACTCCCACATTTTCCCTCCACCCCCCTGCCCATCTGCACGCTTTCAGCAAGAAGGAGCGGTCGGAGCCGGCAATGGAGGCGGTGGAGGAGGAGGACGAGGGCGAGCACAAGGCGAGGAGGGGGCTTGACTTGGCGACTACCTTGGAGCGAATCCAGAAGAACTTTGTCATCACGGACCCGCGCCTGCCTGAGAACCCCATTGTGAGTTGATTGGGTGATGTGAGTGCTGCGAGGGGATGGAGGGGTTGGAATGGGTGAAGGGCGGTGCTTGATGCGGCCTGCAGTGCCGTGAGTGAGGCGAGGAGGGGGCTTGACTTGGCGACTACCTTGGAGCGAATCAAGAAGAACTTTGTGATCACGGACCCGCGCCTGCCTGAGAACCACTCTCTGCCTGCTCCCTTCCCAATTACCCCATCCTCCCCGCCCTCATCCCTCTCCCCACCCTGCCCTGTCCGCCCCTGCCTGCTCTCTAGCCTACCTTTGTCTCCCTCCTCACCCCTGAGGTGACTTTTGAGTCGACTCAAAAGCCTACCTTTGTCTCCCTCCTCACCCCTTCCTCCCTCCTTCCCTGCGTGGACAGATCTTTGCGTCAGACGGCTTCCCTGAACTCACCGTGTACTCCCATCCCATGTTCTTCCAACCCCACCCATTCTGACCGCATCCTACTCCTGCCAGCTCGCTCAACACTCCTCTTTCCTCCCCCCCCCCCTCACCCCCCTTCTCCCCCTCCTCCCTCGGCCCTCCCCTTTCATCCCCCCTGCGTGGGCAGATCTTTGCGTCAGACGATTTCCTTGAGCTCACAGAGTATTCCAGAGAGGAGATTCTGGGGCGCAACTGCAGGTGAGGCAAGGGTTGAGGGTTGAAGGTTTGAGGTCTGGTCTTAAAAGTACCGGTAGTGTAAGTGCTTTGAGCTCACAGAGTACTCCTGAGGGGAGTTTCTGGGGCGAAACTGCAGGTGAGGGCAGGGCTGAGGGTTTAAGGTTTGAGGTCGGGCTTTGGGTTTGAAGTTATAGTGGTGCTGGAGGAGATGAGACTTACACTAGGAGAGTTGTTTGAGCTGATAGAGAATCCCGAGAGGATATTCTGGAACGCCTGACAGAGGGCATTTCCTAGATTCCGGGGCGCCTGGCAGACCGGCTTTTCTGTGTGACCTTGTTTTCTCATCGCATGTGTGACGATGGCATGTGTGTTTATTGCTCGTGGCACGGCAGGTTCCTGCAAGGCCCCGACACGGATCCCAAGACGGTGCAGAGGATTCGAGATGCGATCAAGAAGGAGGAGGATATCACGGTGCAGCTGCTCAACTATACCAAGTCAGGTGAGAGCATGAGGAGAAAGTAAGTTTTTACGGAACAGCCTACTTGTATCAATTGCGATCAAGAAGGAGGAGGATATCACGGTGCAGCTGCTGAATTACACCAAGTCAGGTGAGCTGTGGGGAAGTAGCAAGCATTTCGTTCCAAGGCAGGTTCGCATCGCACTCACATAGCACCAACTAAGCCTCACAGATGCAGTCAAGACGGAGGAGGATATCACATTGTCGCTGCAAGTTGGGTGAGCGCATTGCAAGCACGATGCACAGTGTCAGGTAAGGTAGTTCATTCATCTGCCAGGATGCAATGCGATCAAGAAAGAGGATATCACGGTGCAGCTGCTGAACTACACCAAGTCAGGTGAGCGGGTAGCAGGTAGTTAACTCTGCTTAGCTACATGGATGGGATCAAGGAGGGGGGTATCACGGTGCAGCTGCTCAACTACACCAAGTCAGGTGAGCGGAATATCAAGTGCCTGAGTCAGGTATTTTCTGTGCCACATTTGCATTGCTCCCCTACCCTCCCGTCTCACCACTCTCCTCGTCTCTCCTTCGTGTCTATCTATCCTTGCCCCCTTGCCCCGCTGCGTTGCTGCTGCAGGCAAGCAGTTCTGGAATCTCTTTCATCTGCAGGCCGTGCGCGATAACAAGGTGTGTGGTGGTGCAGAGTGGTGTGGTGTTGTAAGTGGTGCAGAGTGTTTCGGGGAGTGTGGTTGTGTACGGGTGAGTAGGTATTTGTTTGCCTCTATTCACCTCTTTCACCTCGTCTCACCTCTCCTCTCCTCTCAACAGGGCATGCTGCAGTACTTCATAGGAGTGCAGCTGGACGCCTCCCAGTACGTCGACCCCTCCATCCATCCCTGCAAGCACAATATTCACCCCTTCTCACCCCTTTCCACCGCAACAGAGCATGCTGCAGTACCTCATAGGAGTGCAGCTGGACGCGTCCCAGTGCGTGGACCCCTCCATCCATCCCTGCAGGCACCCTATTCACCCCTTCTCACCCCTTTACACCACGTTTCACCCCTTTCCACCCATCCTCTCCTCAACAGGGCATGCTGCAGTACTTCATCAGAGTGCAGCTGGACGCCTCTCAGTACGTGGGCCCCTCGATCCACCACCCATGCAGGCACCGGTGTTCACCCCTTGTCACCCCTCTTCACCCCTCTGGCTTCCTCTCAACAGGGCATGCTGCAGTACTTCATCGGAGTGCAGCTGGACGCCTCCCAGTATGTGGATCCTTCAATCCACGGGCTACAGGAGAAGCTGGCAACCGAGGGAGAGAAGATTGTGAGTGCTGCGTTGCCATGCACCTGTGCTTGTAACCGTACAGGTGTTGTTGTATTGTAACTGTACAGCCGTGGCTACCAGTATGTGGACCCCTCAATCCACGGGCTCCAGGAGAAGATTGTGAGTGCTGCTTGTCACCATGCATGCATGTTGGCACGTGTGTTGTATCCGTGCACATGTGAGCCTCTCACTCCCAGTATGTGGACCCCTCCATCCACGGGCTCCAGGAGAAGCTTGCAACCGAGGGAAAGAAGATTGTGAGTTATGCTTGTCACTAGGGATGAGCAGAGGGCGAACTCGAACATGTTCGAGTTCGCCCCCTATCGAACATCGACTTATACCGAACCGAACAGTGTTCGGTTCGGTGAACTATTTGGGCGAAAACAGGTGTTCGCCGTTCGCCCTAGGGGGCGAACGAATTGTTGCAGCAGGCGAACTCGAACATGTTCGAGTTCGCCAAAGGGAAAATTCGATATAGTCACAGTGGTCATATTGTGAAACGCCGTCCCTACAACTTGACACCTTGACCGCTTGGTGCTTGATCCCTATGCTTCTCAACACTATTGTTCACACAAACACCCTACACTACGAACTACCTTAACCCTAATGTCCGTGTAGATGAACGATGTAAGGTGTGCGATGGCTATTAAAACCGCAAGGCTAGGGCGGTTGTGTGAGAGAGGGCTAGGCGCTAAAGGCGTTTTGAGTTTGAGCTCACGAAATGAGCTCAAACTCAAAACGGCCGCGACCTAAAATTGGTCGCGGCCGATTTTGACGCGAACACTTTTGTGTTCGCGGGGCACCCAATTCGAACACGAACGCATTCGTGTTCGAATTCCCTTAGCCAAAAATCAATGGCGAACGGCGAACATGTTCGGCCGAACACCGAACATGTTCGCCTCGAACGATTTAGGCGAAAAAAAATGCCTGTTCGGTTCGCCTCAAACATGTTCGAGGCGAACCGAACAGGCGTTCGGGATTTTGCTCATCCCTACTTGTCACCATGCATGCATGTTGGCACGTGTGTTGTATCCGTGCACATGTGAGCCTCTCACTCCCAGTATGTGGACCCCTCCATCCACGGGCTCCAGGAGAAGCTTGCAACCGAGGGAGAGAAGATTGTGAGTTATGCTTGTCACCATGCATGCGTGTTGGCACGTGTGTTGTATCCGTGCACATGTGAGCCTCTCACTCCCAGTATGTGGACCCCTCCATCCACGGGCTCCAGGAGAAGCTTGCAATCGAGGGAGAGAAGATTGTGAGTGCTGCCTGTTGCCAAGACATTTGCCAAACTGTGCTGGAAATCCCGTGTGTTCACTTCAGAGCATAGACCATTAAGTCGCCTCAGAACTTCATTGCTAACTGTGTGGAAATCTTGAGTTAAGTGACTCTTGGTCGGCCACATAAGTAACCAAGAGTTCAGCTTTGGCGATTTCTCATATTGTCAAATGGCCTACTTGCGAGGCTCTTACCAAGAGGGATCTCTGAGAATGCAATCCAACAAGAGGACCTTGTGAATTCTGCATGCTATTGCCTTTCTCCTCCCTGAGGCTCATGGTCCCGTCTGCATGGTCTGTCTCCTCTCTCTCACCTAAACAGGTGTTGGAATAACCAACAGCGGCGAGGATGCAGTCGGAGAGAGAGAGCTTGCCGGCCCTCTCCCTTGCATGCAGTGCACTCTCCCTTGCATGCAGTGCACTCTCCCTTGCATGCAGTGCACTCTCCCTTGCATGTAGTGCACTCTCCCTTGCATGCAGTGCACTCTCCCTTGCATGCAGTGCACTCTCTCCTCTCGTTGACTTGCCCTCTCCCCTGTCGTTGACTTGCCCTCTCTCGCCTCCTGACCCGTGTCCCCCCTTATGTATTCTCCCTCGCCTGTCCCTCTGCAGGTGCTGGAAGCAGCTAACAATGTGGAGGGCGCAGTCAGAGAGCTCGCCGACCCTGGTGCTGTGAGTGATCCTTCCCTCTCCTCCTCTCCTCCTCTCCTCTCCTCCTCTCCTCTCTCCTCTCCTCTCCTCTCATTTCCTCTCCTCTCCTCTCCTCTCCTCTCCTTTCTAAAGCTCCTCTCCTCTCGTCTCCTCGCCTCCTCTACCTCCTCATCCATTTCCTTCATTCTTTGCTTCCACAACCATCCCCATTCTCCTCTCCTCTCCACCACCATCCCCACACTCTCCTCTCCTCTCCTCAACTCCCTCTCCCGTTTTCTCCTCGGCCATACCTCTATTGCTCGTTTCTCTCCTTTGATTTGTTGACTCATTTTCTTTCTGCCGAGCCCCTGGCGACCTGTGGGCGGTACACACGGCGCCAGAGGCAGTCAAGCGAGTAAACACAATACAAGCCAATCACATTCTTTCATATCAGCCTTCCTCCCTTCTCGATGCAGGCTCCTGGGGACCTGTGGGCCACACAGCGCCAGTGGCAATCAAGTATCAAGCCACTCACACGCGTGTCCTCTCCCGTCTCTCTTCTTCTCCCCACTTCGTTTCTTTCTCAGGCCGCTGGGGACCTGTGGGCCGTGCACACAGCACCAGTGGCAATGAAGCCGCACAAAACTGGTGACCCGGCGTGGCAGGCCATTCAGGAGGTGAGCTGATAAAGGAGGATACCCGTCCTTGAGTCCACACCCCGTGGCACTTGCTAGATGTATGTGTATGCATGCGCGCATAATGCGTAGCGTGGGTGAGCAGGTGGGTGAGTGAGTGAGAGCATGGGTGGGTAAGTGCGTGAGCAGTGCGCCCAGCAGGGAAGAAAGGATGGATGGCAAAGCATGTTGTTGCCCTAGGACTTATGGTGCAACATTATTAATTTATTTATTTTACATGCGCGTGTGTGATTCTTGTTCGTCCATCAGGTGATCAAGAAGGACGGCAAACTAAGCCTGAAGCACTTCCGACCAATCAAGCCCCTGGGCGCTGGCGACACGGGCAGGTGAGCGGGCAACTTTAACGAATTTTGACATTTGTTGATCCGATCTGAGGGACGCGGCCAGGTGGACGGGAAATTGTGACAAATATTGACAGTTAAAGTGGATCTACCCTAGCAGGTGAACAAGGGGTTGATGATGTTGCTCTCTTGCTCTCTCTCTCTCTCTCCCATCTGGTGGAGCTGAGGGACACGACGCGCCAGTTTGCAATGAAGGCGATGGACAAGGAGGTGATGGTGATGATGGACTGCCCGCCCTTACCCATGCTTGCACCCCTCTCTCCTCTGTATGCTACCCTCCGTCCCCTCCCTCCCTGTCAACAGCGTGCACCTTGTTGAACTGAGGGACACGACCCGTCTGTTCGCAATGAAGGCGATGTACAAGGAGGTGATGGTGAATCGCCCACCCACGCACCCCTCTCCCCCCCTTTCTGCTCTCCAATATGTTTCTCCATCACCAGTGTGCATCTCGTCGAGCTGAGGGACACAAATCGTCTCTTTGCAATGAAGGCGATGGACAAGGAGGTGATGGTGAATCGCAACAAGGTGCACCGCGCTTGCACTGAGAGGGACATTCTGGGAAGGATCGACTTCCCCTTCCTGCCCACGCTCTACGCCTCCTTCCAGGTACGCCCTGCACTAGGTGGTGCCTGGCAAAACACCCTTCGGCCTGCCCCAATGTTCCCTACTCAAGGTGCCTCTCCTGAAATACTCTTAACACCAGCCAGTTTCCTTGGCTCAAAGCGCTCCTTTCCCCCAACTCTCTTTCCCTGTTTTTCCCCCCAGACGGCCGCCCATGTATGTCTGATCATGGAGTTCTGTGGGGGGAGGGTTTTGAGCTGTGCGGCATTCTGGAGAAGCACAAGGGGTTGCTGTTACACTTTCGCAACCATCTTTCATCAACACTCCCCTTTCCCACAACTCCCTGTCCCCAATTTTCAAGACGGCCACGCACGTGTGTCTGATCACGGAGTTCTGCGCCGGCAGTGAGCTGTACGGCATATTGGAGAAGCAGAAGAGATGACCTGATGCTTTGATGCCCTTACTTACCATTGCCCTTTCCTCGCCTCCTCAGACGGCCACGCACGTGTGTCTGATCACGGAGTTCTGCGCGGGGGGTGAGCTGTACGGCATTCTGGAGAAGCAGAAGGGGCTGCTGTGATGTGACACATCTAGTAACACACATTTTTTCCTCAACACTCCTTCCCTGCGTTCCCCCGCAGACCGCCACGCACGTGTGTCTGATCACGGAGTTCTGCGCCGGTGGTGAGCTGTACGGCATTCTGGAGAAGCAGAAGGGCAAGCGCCTGCCCGAGGCTGCTGCACGCTTCTTTGTGGCGGAGGTGCTGCTGGCGCTTGAGTACCTGCACTGCCATGGTGAGTTTTTTGATATGTTTATACTGCAGGGTGTAGGGTGTAGGGAAGGGCAAGTGCCTGCCCGAGGCTGCTGCTCGCTTCTTTGTTGCGGAGGTGCTGCTGGCGCTCGAGTACCTGCACTGCCACGGTGGGTTGATATGTGTGTGATGGTGGATGGGTGGCATGCCATGCATGTATGACATGAGGTATGGCATGGGTGAGAATGCACTCAAGCACTTGGGCGCTTCTTTGTGGCGGAGGTGCTGCTTGCACTGGAGTACCTGCACTGCCACTGTAAGTTTTTTGATATGTTTATACTGCAGGGTGTAGGGTGTAGGGAAGGGCAAGCGTGTGGTATGGAGCGATGGAACGGGTGAGAGTGTCCTCTCCTCAGTCAACTTCCCATGGCTGCTGCCCGCTTCTTTGTGGCGAAGGTGCTGCCGGCGGTCGAGTACCAACACTGCACTGCCACGCTGGGCTGGGTTGATATGTGTCTACTGCTGGGTTTGGCGTTGGGGTTCAGGGTGTAGGGCTTAGAAAAGGGCACGCACCTGCCCGAGGCTGCTGCGTTCTTCATTGTGGCTGAAGTGCTGCTGGCGCTGGAGTACCTGCACTGCCATGGTGGGTGGGGGTTGAGGAGGGGAGGAAGGGGGTCGTATGAGTGGGTGCTCTCCAGGCTGCTGCGCACTTCTTTGTGGCTGAGCTGAGGTGCTGCTGGCGCTCGAGTACCTGCACTGCCATGGTGGGTTGACGCAGTGTGCAGCATGGTGTGTGCACATGGTGTGTGCAGTGTGGTATGCATGTATGTACGTATGAGTGGGTGCTCTCAGGCTGCTGTGCGCTTCTTCGTAGTCGAAGTGCTGCTGGCGCTGGAGTGTCTGCACTGCCATGGTGAGTGGGGGAAGAGGAGGGGAGGAAGGGGGTGGTAAGCATGTATGCACGTATGAGTGGGTGTTCTTAGGCTGCTGCGCGCTTCTTCGTCGTACCTGCACTGATCTCTCTACCCATAACCGCATCCTTCAACCCCTAACCCTGTATGTTATATCCCACACACGCAATGCACAACAGGAGTGGTGTACTGTGACTTGAAGCCCGAGAACGTGTTGGTGCAGAAGTTGGCCATGCCATGCTGATGGAATGAAACCCCAAACCGAACCGTAACCTTTATCACCCAATCCTGTGGCTTGATCGCTTAATCCGTTGCAGGAGTTGTCTACCGTGACTTGAAGCCCGAGAACGTGTTGGTGCAGGAGTCTGGCGATGCCATGCTCACTGTCTTGAACCTGAAATCATAACCTTGAACTTCAACCCTTGTATTGCAATCCCGTTATTGACTCATTGCAGGAGTTGTCTACCGTGACTTGAAGCCGGAGAACGTGTTGGTGCAGGAGTCAGGCCATGCCATGCTCACTGATTTCGATCTCTCCTTCAGCACCGAGTGCAAACCCAAGGTACATGATGCTGCTGCCCCTGCCTGCGGTGACTTTGTTGACCATTGTTGACTTGGTTGACCTGACATTGAGCCCTACCACTGAGTTCAAACCCAGGGTACATGCTGCCTTGACCCTGTAGACCAGTGTTGACTTGGTTGAATGACGTTGACGTTTCCTTCATCACGCAAACCCTAAGTGTGGGCTGTTCCTGCCTGCGTTGACTTCGTTGACCAGCGTTGTCTTGATTGATTGGAGTTAAACTTTCGTTCTTTGTTCTATCCACCCTTGCTGTGTGTGTGCCCCAGCTGGAGTTCCCACCCGTCCCGCCTGACTTTGAGAAGCGCAAGAAGAAGGCGGCCCAAGTGGGATGCGGAGGCGCCACCAAGGGTCCGTCCCCTTCAGAGCTGGAGCTGGAGCTGCTGCCCATACTTGTGGCCGAGCCAGAGGCAACGAGCAACAGCTTTGTGGGCACGGAGGAGTACATTGCTCCGGAGATCATCAGCGGTACCGGGCACAGCAGCCCGGTTGACTGGTGGACGTTCGGTGAGTGCATGAGTGCCCAGAGCCGCTTGCGAGCCTCTCATTGGTGGGCTTTAGGCCTCGGAAAGAGTGCTCTTGGTGGGCACGGAGGAGTACATTGCTTGCCCCGGAGATCATTAGTGGTACCGGGCACAGCAGCCCTGTTGACTGGTGGACCTTCGGTGAGTGGGCTTCGTTCTTGGACATGACTAGTTTCCGGCAGTAAGACGGGGAGGATGCGACCAAACAAACCCGCAATCCTGATGGGAGCCAGAGGTGACAAGCAACAGCTTTGTGGGCACGGAGGAGTGCATTGCTCCGGAGATCATCAGCGGTACCGGCCACAGCGGCCCCGTCGATTGGTGGACGTTCGGTGAGTGGAAAGAGGTGCTCGTGTGTGACTACTCGGGCTGTGGGTTTGAGGCAGCTCAAGGGGTGCTTTGTGTGCACGGAGGAATGCATTGCTCCGGAGATAATCAGCGGCACGGGGCACAGCAGCCCCGTTCGCTGGTGGAACTTCGGTGAGCGTGCTTTGTGGTTAACCTGAGCTTGACTGGTGGGCTTTCGCTAGTGTCGGGTAATGGTGTGGGGGTGAAGGCATGGCCAAGCAACCTCGCAAGCCCAATAGGAGCCAGAGGCGACGAACAGCAGCTGCATTTCGTTTATCCGTTGACATGACACTGTCATTGACACTGCTTCCGAGTTTTGGAGATGATGCAGAAATCGTGGCGGCAAATTGACACATCCATTTCACCCCATTGACATGTTCTGTCAATCCGCCTTGCACCCCCTTTCCAGGAATCTTCCTGTATGAGCTGCTGTACGGTCGCAGCCCCTTCCGCGGGCGCAACCGCCAGCGCACCTTCACCAACGTGCTCACCAAGGACCTCGCCTTCCCGGCTAACCCTCCGGTATGTTAATGCATTGTTAGGATAGATCATCAGTCACTGGTTCACCTCACCTCGCCAGCGCACCTTCACCAACGTGCTCACTAAGGACCTTGCGTTTCCCGCCAATCCTCCGGTGAGTCATCCTGCAGAGGAATTCATTTGCTTAGCAGCCACCACCCAGCACCCTCGCGTCCCTCACAGCCCCTCCTGTTCCCCTTCTTTCACCCCTGTTTGTGCCACCGCCCTCAGACGTAGGACAAGGCCAAGGACCTGATGTGCAAGCTGCTGCAGAGGAACTCATCAGCTCATCAATCCCCACCCCTACACACCCTTGCCTCCTCGTTCTTCCCTCATAAACGCCCCTCCCTGAATGGCAGGTGTCGGACGAGGCCAAGGACCTGATGCGCAAGCTGCTGCAGAGGGACCCGGCGGACCGCCTGGGGGCGAAGCACGGTGCCATTGAGATCCGAGCCCACCCCTTCTTCAAATCCATTGAGTGGCCGCTCATTCGCAACATGGTCAGTGTCTGTCCTTACCTACACACCCCTCACTCTCGTGCACTCTCTCACACTCTCACACGGCGCTGTTGAGACTCACCTGTTCTTCAAATCCATTGAGTGGCCGCTCATCCGCAACACGGCCAGTATGAGCTCTCTTAACTCACACTCCCTCACTCACACACTCCCTCTCACGCAAGTCCACTCTCACATGGCGCAGTTGAAATATGAGCACCCGCTTTATCAAGTCCATTGAGTGGACGCCCATTCAGGTCACTTTCATTCCTTAACTATACATCCTCACACTCTCGCACTTGCACACGTTTAATTCTCACCAACTAAAGAAGACAATGTTTAAAACCCATCCGCCAACACACAGCATGCCTGATACACACACCATGTATAACCCGGCTGTACCTGTCACACTGGTTCTTTTGGCACGTGAACAGAAGCCCCCGCAGTTGTGTGTTCTGGCGAAGGTGATGCCAGCACAGGCGTGCTTCCCCTTTCTCTTTCTCACACATTTCCATTCTCCCTTGCAACTCTGTTTACTACTATCCCTCTTGTGAGCAGAAGCCGCCGCAGCTGGATGTGCCAGTGAAGGCGATTTCGGCAGAGGCAGAGGAGGGAAGGCCGTCGACAGCAGAGGAGGAAATGGACTGGGATGAGAATGAGGCCAGGCCGTCCACTTCACTTGACTACGGCTACTGACCTTAAGTTGCTGCTGCAGTGGAGAATAAAATGTTTCAGTAGAAACAGGTTATGTTTTAATTATGTGTGCATTAATGTTCTAATTGGTTTGTGTGATAGTTGGTTAGCTTGGGGAGTACATCTGTAGTGGGAAATCACTGTGGTTGTGTACATTAGTTACTGTTATGTGTGACCATCATTAAGTTACTGGAGGGTCCAACCGCATCGGAAAACGGATGAACCTGGCCCAACCGAATCAATTTGGCGCGACCAGAAACTGATCTGAGGGACAGAGCTGCGAACAACGAGGTTCATGCTCTCCGACATTGACCAAAGCAACGTCCTAGAGCTTTTGGCATGTCACATATGTTCACCTCGATACACACTACGTGCTTTCCGTTACCGTTTTAGAGAAACTCACTCAGTCGGGCAGCAGTTAGAATGGTGCGGTAAGGTTTTGAGCGACTCCGGATTCTTATGTGACCGCTGCTGGTATGGATGCTGTGCATGTCCCACGATAATTCCTACCTAGTCCGGAGTTAATGGCGTCGACGCGCGTCCAGCCTCCATTGCCTTGTATGGATTGTATAATAAGTCTGGCGCGGTGTTGGCCACTGTGGTGTGTTGTAAGGGAAAAAGTCGTGATACGATGCTGCCTGGAATCTATCGCTCCGTGAATGGTTCCTTTGAGCCATTTGACTCGGAGGATTGCCAGCGTATTCTCAGGGCTGCTGCGAATGGCGAAGACACCGTGGCTGTTGGTCACTCCTCGATTGTTTTGAGGACCATGGAAGAGGTGACACCAGGCGCTCAACGAGTACACATTCTAATGGTTCCGCATTTCGGGCTTCACAACGTGAAACAACTCGCCACTCCTATGGGGGTTATGGTAAGCGATCTTCCTAACCTTTCGTTCACCTGATTTATTCTTTGAGTTCATGTTGTGTTGTATGGTGTGAATGAGCAGCTCTGGATGAAAATTCTTATGGATGTCCTATCAGAGGCTTACATTAGGGAAGCAGTTGAAGAGATTGTGGACCCTGGATACTATGTCGAAACCATCAAGCCAAGACAAAGCTTTACGGAAGATACTTTCCTCGTTGACCAATTTGCTAATACTCTGGCAAGCCTTTCTCTACGCGATGCTGAGCATATCCTTGGTAAGTACAACTCACGCCAATCTCTCAAAAATCACTTGTTTGCACGTCATGTTAATGTTGATGAAGGGGAGCTGGTCCTCTGCATGGAATGCATGATTCAGTTTTGGACTTCTATTTCCTTTCATCGTCTCACGCAAGCTTCATTTCCCGTTTCCAGGTCAGATTTTCCAGAAGTTTGCTGCAGGAACGGTGGGAAAAGCTGAGCTGGTCTTTCATGGAACTCCGTCCAAGAACATCAACTCAATTATGACAACTGGAATGGATGCAAATTATCGTAGAAGTTCTCCTCTTGGGGATTGGTTTGCCAAAAGTTTGAGCATGCCCTTGCAGAAAGCATCGGGCTTTAGTGGAACAGGCACTGTGATTGTCTTCCTGGTGCTTGCGACCAGTGAGGCAGTGGTGCGACATTACCACGGAGATTATGTTATCCTCAATAGCTCCAAATATCAACTTCCACTCGCTACAATCAATGTAAGAAGATAGACCTGCCAGGAGTACATTATCGTATACAGCGTTACAAAGGAAAGAAGGTTTTCGCGGAAGTGGGCGCCTACCGTATGACTTCAGTATGTCGGCTCCCCTCACCCGAATTTTGAGATACTCTAAACCAACATCCAGAAAAGCAAGCAAAACGTGCAACCCCTGATTGCAGAATGTGCAAGTATTTTCACATACGGTAAGTAAATTCCCCAAGAGTTGAATGGGTTATCTTACTTTTTTCTCCGTTTTCATGACTACTACGCATTCCAGTGGAGATTTATTTACCACTCGTAGAAATAGCTTCGTATAAAATGGCAATCACAGTAGTTAATTTGCAACCCACAGAATGAATACTCGAGCAAAATTACGTTCCTACCTCGCATCAACCACCATGTGTAGGACTTGATACAGCCACCATGTGGTGACTTGATCCGATGTAGGAACGCACCCTTAAACCCTAACAATACGATACCCTAACCTACCCCACATCTGTAGGACATGCAGTACCATCCACAATCACTGGTAGCAGCTGACATGCTGCAGAAGAGCTAAGCAGCACCCCAAGGAGGCTGGCACAGCAGGTGTGGGACTATGCTGCCTGCACGGCTGCCAGGGGCGAGTAGTCGTATTGCTCTGGCGTATGGAGATGGGGTGGGGATATAGGGACGAGATGATACAAGAGGTGATGGTACCAAGTGAGAAGAGGAGAGGAGAGGAGAGAAGAGGAGAGAAGAGGAGAGTAGAGGAGGGGAGAGGAGGGGAGACGAGAGGAAAATGCAAAAACAGAGCACAGGAGAAGGGATGAATGGGGGTAACAGAGGTACTGCGTGTGCACCAGTTGCACGAGCTCACTACCCCACTCCACCACCATCCCTTGCTGCTGCCGCCATGCCCCCTGCCATACCCACTGCCATGCTCACTCACTGCCTGCCTACTACGCTACAGCCAACCAGTCCCAGACTTCTCCAGACTGCCCCAGACTGCAGCAGACGCACTCACTGCGCTCGTCACTCACTGCTGGCCTGGCTGCAAGGAACTGACCCCATGGTGGCCCAGTCAGACGACGACACGCAGCCCATGAGGCAGGCCACAGTGTAGGGCGCCGTGCTGCCATTATGCCATACTCACTGCCATGCCCACTCTCATAACCACTCACTGCTGGCCTTGCTGCAAAAGGCGGAGCCGAGGGTGCCCCAGTCAGACGACGACACACAGCCCTTGAGGCACGCCACGGTGTAGGGCGCTGTGCTGCCGACATGGTAGTGGTAAAACGCCGGCTCGCTCCCACTGCCGTCGCCCACGTGTCCCCCGCACTCATCCAGCCCAGAGGGCAGCGCTCCCCCTGCCCCCCGCGGGCCGTAGAGGGGAATGCCGTCTGCTAGGAAGCCCACGAGGGGGGAGTGCTGGCCCGGGGCGTCCTGCCAGAAAGACGAGCTGCGGGGGAAGGGGGGGGGGGAGGGAGGGGGAAGGGAGGGGGGAGGGAGGGGGAAGTGAGGGGGAAGGGAGGGGGAAGGAAGAGAGAAGGGAGAGGGAAGGAAGGGGGGAAGCCGACGAGGGGGGAGTGCTGGCCGGGGACGTCCTGCCAGAAGGACGAGCTCGGGGGGGGGGGGGGGCAGGGAAAACGGGGGTGAGGGGAAGGGAAGGGAAGGGGGGGATGGATGGTTGGGATGCGAGGATTGTTATGAGGTAAATGACATGAGGCAGCTCATGGTACATGGAACATATAGTTGAAGCATGGCTGGTTATGGAAGGAGCAGCAAGTGAGCGGCGGTGACGAAAGGAGCAGGTTGGCACGAGTGACATGAGTGGCAGCAGCGGCTTGACATAATCAGCAACAGTTGCCTGGCAGAAGATGCAGGTGGAGAGAGACCAGGAGAGCTTGAGAACTGGGAAACCAGGGAACGGGGGAGCGGGGGAGTTGGGGGAACAGGGGAACGGGGGAAACAGGGGGAAGGGTGAATGGGGGAACGGGGGAACGCACCTGCAGAGCTGGAAGTCGGTGGTGCAAGAGGCGGAGATGGCCGAGGGGTTGGCGAGGCCGGGCGCGACGTGGTAGTGGTACTGGCCCGAGGGCGTGGGGTGCCCCCCACACGTGTCAAAGGTTGCGCCCTCGTACTGCAAGGCGTCCCTCCCCAGAGCGTCACATGCAGTGCGAGCAATGGGGAAGGCAAGACACGGGAATGGTCGTTATTTAGCATTTAACGAACTAGAAAAAAAGAGGCAGTAGGGTGCCCCCCACACGCGTCAAACGTGGCGCCCTCATACTGCAAGGCGTCCCGACCCAGGGCGTCACATGCACTGCGAGCAGGAGAGTGAGACACGGGGATGGGGAATGAGGGGATGAGATGAGGGTGTAACAAGGGGATGAAGGCGTGAGAGTGAGACACGGGGATGGGGAATGAGGGTGTGAGGTGGGATGCACAGCAACATGTAAAGACTGAGAGGCGCATCTTCATACTGCAAGGGGCAGAGCAGCTCACGCACTGGGAGCAGTATGAAGAAACTTTTGAGTCGACTCAAAAGTCACCGCAGCACGCACTGGGAGCAGTATGAAGAAGCAATAGGGGCACGCACGCCTCTCAGTCTTTGCTGGGAGCAGGGGAGCCATACCAGCCCCCCTCCTGCCCCTACTCTCTCCCCGCGCTAAACCCCCCCTCTTCCCCCCCTTTTCACCTGTAGAAGGGCACGCCGTTAAGTGCGAAGCCAATGGGTCCCATCTTGCAGGTGCCGCGGAGGGCGACGGGAATAGAGGTAGAGGAGAGCGTGGGGGCGAGCGGCACGGCAAAGGACAGCGCCTGCTGCAGCGGCGAGTACAGCGTGGCCTGCACTCGCCAGTCGTACCCCGGACACCCGTTGCTTGCCATCACCCTGCCATTGGGAGGGGTGGGGGAGCAGGGCAGAGGGGGGTTAGGGCAGGGGGAAGAGGGTGATTGGCAGGAGAAATGGGGGCAGGAAAACAGATGGAAAGGAAATGCATGAGGGGAAGTGATGAGCGGACGTGATGGCTTGAGCGTGCAAGCAGAGTGGCAAGGCAAGCAAGGCAGCATGGCAGAGCGGGTGGGTGGGTGGGCGCACCTCTTGCCATTGCTGCTCGTGAGCTTGGCGCTCCTGCTGCTGCTGCTGTTGCCACACGCACTCCCACCCAATGACCCGCTGCCTCCTCCGATGCCTCCCCCGCCCATGCCTCCTCCGCCCATGCTTCCTCCGCCCATGCCTCCTCCGCCCATGCTTCCCCCGCCCATGCCTCCTCCGCCCATGCCTCCTCCCCCCATGCTTCCTCCCCCCATGCCTCCTCCGCCCATGCCTCCTCCCCCCATGCCTCCTCCCCCCATGCCTCCTCCGCCCATGCCTCCTCCCCCCATGCCTCCTCCCCCCATGCCTCCTCCGCCCATGCCTCCTCCCCCCATGCTTCCTCCCCCCATGCCTCCTCCCCCCATGCCTCCTCCCCCCATGCCTCCTCCCCCCATGCCTCCTCCGCCCATGCCTCCTCCCCCCATGCCTCCTCCCCCCATGCCTCCTCCGCCCATGCCTCCCCCGCCCATGCCTCCTCCGCCCATGCCTCCTCCGCCCATGCCTCCTCCGCCCATGCTTCCCCCGCCCATACTTCCTCCGCCCATACTTCCTCCGCCCATGCTTCCTCCGCCAATGCCTCCTCCGCCCATGCCTCCTCCGCCCATGCTTCCTCCGCCCATGCTTCCTCCGCCCATGCCTCCTCCGCCCATGCCTCCTCCGCCCATTTCCCCTCCGCCCATGCCTCCCCCGCCCGCGCTACCCGGTTGTCCGCTCATTCCGCCACCTCCTTGCGAGCCCAACCCGCCCTGCCCGCTCTGCCCGCCGCTCGTCGCCCCATTTCCGCCACCGCCGCCGGTCCGGGCGGGGCGGAAGAAGGACCAGCTACCGCCTGTCCCCGCTCCCCCCACCAACCCGCCGAACCTCCCCGCGAAACGCGGAAGGCCGAGCGAGCGCGCGTTGCACGCGGCGTGATCCACGCGCGCGAAGCAGAGGAGCGCGAAAAGCGCGAGGGCGGGGACGAGGCGGGACGAGGCGAGGCGAGGCGGCATCATGGCGGGCGGCGCCGCAAAGGTCTAACAGAGTGGCGCGGGTGGAACGACACGAACCTGCTTTCAACTGGAGGTCACTCCGAGGCGATTGCGGCAAGTGGCGAGGTGAGGCGAGGCGAATGGGTGTGGCGACGCAGGCGAGAAAGGAGACGCCCGGATTGATTTCGGTGAACGCGAAGGATGATTTTGGTGTGATTTTGGTGGGCGACGCCGGTCCGAGAATGAGTCGAACAGGGCGATGATGATGCTGAGATGGCCGCGGGGGATTCTACAGCCGCGGCATGCAACGAGACTCGAGAGGCGGCAGCGCTGGGAAATGCCACCAGCGAGCCCGCTATTTCTACTTCTACTGCCGTCGCCGGCAATGCCATGAGTCCAAGCCGCCACTCGACACGTATCAGGAGAAAGGCTGACGCGCTGCCGTGAACTCTCTAGATCGAAGACCGTCTATCCGTGAGTCAACGGGAATTCAGTCAACGTGGAAAGGACAGGAATGGGAGGAGGAAGGGGCGGACCACGAGTCAAACTTCATTTTCAGTTCATGGTAAGACACTGTTTGGGTCGGTGAGTCGTGGTTCAAAGCAGTTACGAGAGCAAACTGCTCTGGAGTGTATAGCTGTTGCTCCTCCCTAGCTCTGCTGTAAGGAATTTTCCCGAATTCCTTATCGGGGTTGACTGCTTCGCGTATGTAAGGGAAATCCCTTTTCCTTACTTCGCATCCCTGCTCAACGCGTACATCACTGTAGCACCTCAGTCAGCACCGTTACCACTCGCGATCATCGCATCGACAACCATCCCGCCATTTTCGCACATCGCATCCCGACCTCACGGCTCGGGGGTAACCCGCGCTCCGGGCCTACGCTTCGACATTTTCCCAACCTCAATCCCAGGCTCGTCGCGCGACAACCACAGTCCATTACCGTTACGACTGTAGTTTCGCTGTATATTCTTCGCTCATGCCTTCGCTCATTGTATTCTTGCTTCGATAGTGCAATTCTCGTTCGTTCACTCAATTGCACTCGTAACACTTGGTATTCAGAGCCTACTATCTCATCTCGGACCGCATCCACACCTTCGCTTCCCCACTATCTCAATTTTTGGGGGGGGTGTCAGAACAATATAGCTTACTTATTTGTGTAGGCTATAGTGGGGTATCCCATAGGGGGTACAACCCAATTAGGGTTTCCTATTTGTACTCACTTCGTTCATAGTCATTTCATTCTCGTTCACTTCTTCTCATGGTATCGAGCAGATTCCCCTGTGGGAACTGTGCTTAGGGCCCACCACCACTACCTTGAATTTTTTTTTCTGCCCTAGCCGCTAGCGCGCCGCCCGCCCTAGCAGCCCGAGCGCCGCCTTAGCGCCCGCGCCCCGCTACCCGCCCTAGCGCCCTAGCGCCCGCGCGCTGCCCGCCCTAGCGCCCTAGCGCCCCGCTGCCCGCCCTAGCGCCCTAGCGCCCTAGCGCCCGCGCGCTGCCCTACGCAGCGCGTGAGCAGCTCGCGTGAGCCGCCCGTGCGCCGCCCAGAGCCGCCCGTCAGCTGCCTGCCCGTGCGCTAGCCGCCCGACGCGCCAGCCGCCCGACGCCCGCTAGCCGCCCGACGCCCACTAGCCGCCCGACGCCCGCTAGCCGCCCGACGCCCGCTAGCCGCCCGGCGCCCGCTAGCCGCCCGACGCCCGCTAGCCGCCCGTGAGCCGCCCGTGCGTCGCCCTCAGCAGCCCGACGCGCCGCCCGTGCAGCCGCCCGTGCAGCCGCCCGTGCGGCCGCCCGTGAGCTGCCCGTGCGCCACCCGACTTGCCGCCCGTGCAGCCGCCCGTGAGCCGCTCGTGCAGCCGCCCGTGCTGCCGCCCGACGTGCCACCCGTGCAGCCGCCAGTGAGCCGCCCGTGCAGCCGCCCGTGCAACCGCCCGTGCAACCGCCCGTGCAGCCGCCCGTGCAGCCGCCCGTGCAGCAGCCCGTGCAGCCGCCCACCGTGCCGCACGTGAGCCGCCCCAGCCGCCCGTGCAGCCGCCCGTGAGCCGCCCGCGAGCCGCCCGTGAGCCGCCCGCCACGACGCCCGCGCCGCCTGTGAGCCCCCGCGTCACCCGAGCCGCACGAGCCGCCCGAGCAGCAGAGCCGCCCGAGTGGCCCGTGCCGCTGCGTGCCCGAGCCGCCTGAGCCGCCCGAGCCGCCCGAGCCGCCCGAGCCGCCCGAGCCGCCCAAGCCGCCCGAGCCGCCCGAGCCGCCCGAGCCGCCCGAGCCGCCTGAGGTGCCGAGCTCTTGCTCCTGTGGGGCTGCTACTGCTCCTGGGCCGGCGGTGTTGCTGTGCTGCTGAGCGGCTCGACCCTTCCTGTCCGGTGAGACTGTCGGCTGCTATCATGGCCACCCCTAGTGTCCTAGCTTTTGACGCTGAGGGTCGCGCCATTGACTTTGCGGTCTGGGTCGACGACCTGCAGCTGTACTTGCTATGCGATACGGTAGATGAAGTTTCTCTCTTTGACTTTGTCTCTGGCGCTGTCCCTGCCCCTCCTGCTGATGCTGACCCCACTGTTCGCTCCAAGTGGGCCTCACGCGATGCTGCTGCACGTCTTGCTGTGCGTCGCCACCTCCCTTCCTCCGAGCGTGCACACTTTAGTCAGTGCAAGACCGCTCAGGCCTTGTACGACGCTGTAGTTGCGCGCTACTCCTCCCCTTCCTCTGCTACACTGAGCCGCCTCATGCTACCGTACCTCTTCCCTGACCTTGCTGCCTTTCCCACAGTCGCTGACCTCTTTACCCACCTCCGCGCTAGTGACACTCGCTACCGAGCTGCGCTTCCTGCTGACTTCTGCGCCGCAAACCCCCCTCCCATGTACATCACCCTCTACTTTCTCGTCACCCGTCTCCCTGAGTCCCTTCGTGTAGTTAGGGACCAGTTTCTCTCTGTCTGTCCTGTTAACGGGAATGAAGTGTTGGCCCCGCCCTCGCTTGGGCAACGCCGACAACTTGGTCGGATGTACGGAAGTAGCAGCCGACTTCTCACAGTGGGATAGCTGCTCGACAGGTTACGTCGAGCTGCAGCGGACCACTGTGGTGTTGCTGTCGACCAGGATGCTCGACAGCTGCACCTGACTGGCCTGGGCGACGGGTGAGCCGTCCGGGAGGTCGACGAAGCAGTCCGTCGACCTACAGTTCGACGGGGAGGTCTATGGAGCATCCCGTCGAACTGCAGCTCGACCGGGAGGTCAACGGAGCGTCCCGTCGAATTGCAGCTCGACCGGGAGGACAATGGAGCATCCCGTCGAACTGCAGTTCGACCGGGAGGTCGACAGAGCAGTTCTGGTCGACGGAAGGGGTCCGTCGACCAAGGGGTAGCTTGACGGGAGGCACCTGGGAGTCGACCAGAGCACCAGGGGTCGACCAGGTCGACCGGGTAACCTGCTCGACGAGTTCTGCGGAGGCACGCGAACGTCGTCGAGATCGCGATGGCGCAGGCGACTTCGGGCTGGTATCCCGAAGTCGATGTGGCTCGTCAGGCGCAGACAAACAGCCGACGGATGCCCAACGAGGCAAGTCGGGCCAATCGTCTGCGCACACCTGTGAGCGCGCGCACTGCTGTGTTCTACGGGGCACGCCGTCGACCTGCTTTGTTGGCAGGTCGCCCTTCTGCAGTGCTGGCGCGGCTCCTCTACGCAATGCTGGCAGGCGGTCGACCGAGCTGCGCTGGCGGTCGACCAGGCTGGCTGCAGGGTTGCTAGGTGCCTGATTTAGTCATTGTTGTCATTGCTTCTTTATTATTCTGGAATTCCAACTTTGCTAGTGAAAACTCTTGCCAAATTCTTTCGTGAATGTGCAAACACTAAGGAACTAAGCAAAGCTAAGATCACCTCTAGTAGTTCGTGCCAACCCCTGTAGTCTAGCTCACTACCGTTGTAGAGTTAATCTCCACATGGTGCGGTGAGCGTGGATCGAACACGCGACCTTCAGATAGGAGCCGACTTTTGCACCTACTAAGTCGTTCGTAGGCCGGCAGCAGCGATAGTCGCCATGGTCGACCCCGTAGTTGATACGGGTGTAGCGGACACTTTGGAGGCACGTTTGGCTGACGCGAGGAGACGCCACGCGAATGGCGAGTACGGGACGATCCCCTTAGTGATCGCCGAGTTGGGCATCCGGTCGCAGTGGGCGACGGAACACCCTTCCCGTCCTGCTTCTCCTCGACCGGTGCGCAACGAAGGTGGCGTCGACGACGAGGTCGAAGGTGGTGCACGAGTCAGCGGCAGTGAAGGCACGAGGCATAGAGGAGTGATCAAGGTCGACGGAATCCAGGCGCGAGTGCAGCGGTCGACGGCGGCTGCAGGCAGCTCGCACGCCGACGTCGATGCTCGACGTCGCTCTCCTCTACGAAGTTGTGGCGGGCTCTCGCCGACGACGCATGTGACTGCGGGCGGGATTGCACCGGCGTATGGCTACTTCAAGTTTTCGCCGGATCGGATCACCGTCGCTCCGCTGCAAGGTCGACGGGACCTCATCACCTGGAGGGAGTCGATCGAACCTCAGCTGGAGGTCGCCGGGCTGAAGGGCTTCGCCGACGGCACTGTGCCAATTCCACCCGAGGAGGATGTCGGGCTGCGCGGGGAGTTTCGTTCTGCTCACCTGCTCACCTTCTTGGTCATCTCGAGGTGCTGCTCGCCGGTGGTACAGCTGGCGCTCAGGAGCTGTCGAGAGCGACTGGATGCTGGTCACCAGGCATGGCGCTTCATCATATCGACGTACCAGGTCAGGGACGACCTGTACATCGGGCAGCTGGAGGAGAAGATGACTCACATTCGGATGGGCGAGCAGGAGTCGACGACGGATTACTGCAACCGTGCTCGACGGATCCTGGCTGAGATGCGAATGGCGGGCGCCGAATACTCGACGGCGTCCTACATCACCCACATCGTCAAGGGCTTGCCGCGCAGCTACAATCTCATGAAGAGGATGATGATGGTGCCTGGCACGCGTGAGTCTCTCGACGAAGACTCCATCACCAGCTACATTC